AAATTTTCTTTTTAGCCAAAAAATGGGTAAAATATCTTCCAAGTGGACCCCTCATATGATGTTGCATTTAAAGTGTCGTTACTTTATTCCGTAATTTGATCCCTATTGCACAAATGCAGATTTATAGTACAGATAATGCTTTATGGTGCAGATAGTTTTCATAGTGCAGAATGCATTATATAAGAAAATATTCAATTTTAAAAACAAATAAATAGCCGTTTTAAAAGCAGTCTTTGGTTGAAAATAAATCAAATCTACGAACACCTGCAAAACATTTTTCAAACTTGTTTAATTTTAAATGTATCCGTTAACTCTTTTTTAATAAAAATATTCGTAATTGGATTCCGATGATTTTGTTGCTTTAGTCTCATGAAACTAAGGTTCAAATAAAGCTTTCATTTAAATTTTAGATTCTCTGGAATGGCTGAAACTTGGAGTTAATCGCCTGGAAGAAATTCCATCACAATCCCTGAAAAATTTAAGCCGATTAAGACAGCTGGACTTGAGAGGAAACAATATATCAAGAGTTAAAGAAGATGATTTTAGACCTTACGGGAAAAACTTAAAATTTATTTATCTTCAAAATAACTGGTAAATTTTTACAATTTGCTTAGATTGCATTTTATTTATATTATGGCTTAATTGTTTTGCAGAACATTTCATAGATATAAAAGATCAAATTAGAGCAAATTTATAAAATTTTAATACAAAAATTAGCATTTGTATCAGATTTTGTATCGGATTTTGAATCTGATTTGCTACCTTCAAAATAATTGGTATATTTTTACAACTTGCTTAGATTGTTTTCATTTATATTATGGCTTAAGTGTTTTGTAAAACAGTTCATAGATTTAAAAGATTAAATTAGAGCAAACTTTTAAAATTGTATAACATTGTTTAGCAATTGTATTAGATTTTGTATTTTTTAAATTGTAAAATTGCGCTTAATTTCATTTGTATTTTATATTCTCTGTATTAAATCTTACTTAGAGGGGTTGTTGGTCATTGCATTGTCGGTCACAACAATTATAGTGTCAAAAAGAAAACCTTGATACCATTAAACATTAAAAATTAAAAAATTTAATGCATAAATCCCGCAGGAATGCAATAGATATTCAATAAAATATTCGCATTCGATTTTATTTTAAACTTAATTTTTATAAACTTATCTTAATTTTTTTCAATTAAACCTAATTTTTTTAAACATTTATTTAAAACTTAAGATAAAATTTATTAGTATAGTCTTTGAAAACTGAAACTGATAATTGTGATTATTTCATATATAAATTGATGTTTTAAGCAATTATATACCTAAAGCAATAAAAAATTTCTACTAAATTTACGTATTTTGACTTAGTATTTAGAAATTTAAATTATAAATACTGATACATCTTAATCGTTTTTTTTCTCTTTTCAATTCATTTACAGTGTGCGTAACCAGATTTTTCAGCAAAAAATAAGCACCTTTTAAGTACTATTTAAGCACTAAAAATATTTTCAATCACTTTCCAAAAAAAATCACAATTAGGATCTGTGCAGCAATAAAATTATTTTTTTCTATAGTTTAAAATTCTTAATTTATAAGCATAAAATCAATAAAATTCAAAATCTTAACATAATCATGATTAAAAAAAACTTGTTACTGATAAATATTGCAAAGAAAATTGTGAAAATCATGCATTTTTTTGTAATTTAGAACAACAATCGACACGGCAAAGAAAAAAATCTCGTTTTAAAAGATAGAAAATTCAACACTTTTTAACCCCGAATTAAAAAAGTAGCATTAAGGGCTTTTAAAAAACATAAATCAAGAATTAGCACCTTTAAGTACTTTTTAAAAACGCTACGCACCCTGATTTAAGCCAATGAAAATCATCGTTCCGAAGGAAAATCGATATAAATGCACTGTGCATTTTCAAGTTGTAGAAATTTAGTGCAGGAAACTTTACACATAAGATGTAAAAAAAAATGTAAAAAATGTTTTTAAAGTAATTAATTTGCTAATGTTATACCTTTCTACTGCATCAAATAAAAATAAAAACCAATATGTTGTTTGGTGGTATATGAGGAAAAATAAATGACACAGCAATATCAGTAACTGCCTCTTATTAGCTGTTTTTATCATCTAAATATGCAGTTAAAGTTTTTTGGTTTGCGAATTCAAAATATTAGTTTTTATTTGTGGTTGAGGAAAAATAAATTGAAGAAATTATAAAATAAACTAGAACTGGTGTGTGCAACTATCAGCTCGTCTGATTCCGGAGGCACAAAGCCCGAATTGAATTTCCAGAGAGAGAGGGTATATAAAAACATATACAGACAAAAAAATTCTGACAAAACTAACATATCATATGGTAATGACAATTCTTGTAAAAAAATTATAATTCTGGTATTAAAGACCAAAATTTACAAAGTTAAAACCATTCACTTGGTAATTTTTACGTTCATTTAGCAACGAATTATCGGTAATTCTGGTTTTCTAAATTATAGCTCTTATTACTGCACATTTAGTAAAAAATACAATACCATGATAAAATTACAAAATTTTACCACATTAGCCTAATTTTATAACATTTATAAAACCTTATTTTATTATTAATTTTACCAAAACCTGATCCAAAGCGCTTTGGTAAAAATTGTCGAGCTTTTTGGAGTTCCAAAAAAGCAAAAAATGCTGTAAATTTATCCATATTTTGGGAGTTTTGACCATGCTTTTCTGTCTTAGTTTCCCCTTTACACCAAAAATGTCTATCGATAATCTAAAAGTGAGAACCAAATGGCAAAATTATATTTTTTAAAAAAGAAGTTCCAATTCTTTTTGTTTTTCAAAAAGAACAAAGTAAACAAGAAAAGATAAAAAAGCACTTCTATAAGATTTGGAGCTTTTAGTGAAAGTCGTAAAGAAGTTGAAATTGTTCCCGAAATGACGAAAGAACAGATTTAATCCGTATATTGAAGCAAAGAAGCTCAAATGGTATTAGAAAAATGGGATTAAACAGTGCACTCCCAAGAAGATGAAAGACGAAATTAAATTGTATCTTCCAAAGGAAAATAATCGAGTATTAGTTCCCTAGATAAAACGAAGTAACTAAAAATAATATGTATGTGAACAACCGTATACTATTTTAAGCAAAAAATTGCTTGTTACTTTGTCGAATATGATTATTTGTTTAAATTTATGCGAAAAAATACCATACACTATATTTAACTAAAAAAGCTTGTTCATGTCTTCTGATATTGAACTTTAAGAAAAAACGAAAATGAACCACGAAAAAAAATCGGCCAAAAATATTTTACCTATAAAATTTAACTGCTCTAAAGCAAGATAAATGTTCTGTATTTCTTTAAAATTTTATATAACAACTGGTAGATAATCGACATCATATTATTAATAAAAATAATATAATAAAAAATGCAATAAAAATAATATAACTAAAATAATTTAATGACAATTACTTACAAAAATAACAAAGTTAACTTATATTAAACTCTTTATTTTATTGATTAAATAATGTAACTTTTGACCTTTCTAATGTTCTCAAAAAGTAAAGAAAGCTTCCAATAATATAAATATTTTGAGATCATTTAAAAGTGAATTTTGATATTGGATCACTCATTCTTCTGTTGCCAAAGAATATTTTCTTATTAAATTTCATTTCTCCAAAATTGAATTTATTTATTTTTTTAAAGTTTTAATTTAATATTCACTATATGAAAAAAAGAAATTTTTAAGGAATAATAGTGCTTTATTTCACTAAATTTATAACAGAATAACACGAAATTACCTATTTATATAAAGCGATAAACAGTTTTTGCAATAATTTTTTTTTAATTTTTGTAATAAATCTTCCCACTTTATGCCTAGCAATTCGAAAAGATTGCAATATAGTTCAAATAAACTTGCACTAGTAAACATTTATTTCAAATAAAATAGCACAATTAAAATTCAAAATAGAAATTCTATATTTTTCACTTTCCTTAAAAATCATATTCATTTCTCGTTTCGTCGTATATACGAGTATATATATATGTATATTTATTTATTTATTTACTTATTTTTTACTTTTATTTTTCCCTTTTTTCATTGTTCTGTAAGTTAGTTAAGCTAGTTTAGGATGCATGCGCACAACACTTATTCTTAAAATAAAATTAGTTTGTAAATCAAACATAGCAAAAGAAATATGAAGACGAATTCAAGTAAGACCTAATTAATTAGAACAGAAGAGGATAGAAATTAAATGTTATGAAATTGTTTAACACAGTTGACAGATATTTAAAAATTAAAATCTAATTATTCTTATTACGCAACTAAACACACGAATACATTCTGCAACGCAAACTTTTGTTTTGTAGAAATAAAATTTCACTGTTATGGTTTTATTTATTTATTTATTCATTTTTTGTTTGCTTGTTTATTGAATACACATATTTTCATACTCATTAAACTCAGCTTATTGAGTTAATTGCAAAGAAACACTTCATTAAAAAAACAAGCACTTTTTTAGCAATATATTTGCACTAATTTCTTCAAACAATTGTTATTTTGTCAATTTTCTATACTTTTTTGTGTGATAACTACAGTCCTCTACTTAATGTATTTAGTTTTCCTCAACTTTAAAAAACATCTAAACATCAAAATATTTTACAGTATATATAACAACATACAAGTAAAATAAAACTATAACAGTGAAATTTTACGTCATTTCCTAAACAATTGCAAATAATCTACTGACAATATCCAAAGTAGGCAAAAATTGGCATGTTTGCAAGTGAAAATAGTTCAGAAATAGTGTGAATGCGCATGAGCTTGGTGTAATCATTTTAATTTATTGATGTTTAGATTTGACAGCATCCTTTTAAGTATACATGAACATTTTATTTGGTGTTAACTTAAAATGAAGCGTTCCTTCTCAGAATTTTTGGTTAAGCATCGAATTATAAAAGATATTACACTACTATTTTTACATTGTAGAGAAAAAGAACTTTCAATATAATATTTTATAAATAAATATTGAGAAGGAAGGAAACAAATAATTTTTGAATGTTATATTTAGAATTTTTTTTTCTTTTTCAGGTTAATTAATGTCGACCCAACGTCATTAATCACTTTAGATTCTCTGGAATGGTTACATTTACAATCTAATCAGCTCAACACCTTCCCATACGAAACTTATGCTCCGGTTTTAAATACATTACAGGTGTTTGATATACATGGTATTTATGTTTTTAATTACATTTTTATAATTTATTAGTTTATTTATTGTGGTGCGTTTTATTACGATAGAACCACGTGCTTTAATTTGAAATAAAAATTGTCTTAATGGTACAGGCATTTTATGATTTGAGATTTTTTATACGCTTTTCATCTTTTACTTCAAGAAACTAATTAATTGTTCGAAATAATCAATTGAAACTATCTTTTTAATAAATAGAATTAAAATATGACTCTAAACTGATGAGATCGCTTAAATATGCATTTTAAAGAGAATTGTATTCGTGACGAAACGCTTACAAAGAACATTATTATTGCTTCAAGTTTAACATAAATGTTTGATTTGAACTCTATTGATTATTTAACAACCCAGATAGCACCCTTACCAGATTGTTACAAAAATGAAACAGTCACGGAGACACAGACGTCGATGCGTGGGTTTTTGAAAGCTATTATGTCCACCTATAGGGACATCGGATTTCGACGTCACCCAGGCGTCAACATCAGACCACGATGAGACAAATAACTGTCGCAGTGACATCTCCATATGACATGAATATGACATATTCACATGTCAGCTTAGTCACATCGTGACTCTGGTGAGACGTGAATAAGTCACGTCTTTGTCACATAGTCACTTTGTCAATAAATATTATGATTAAGAATAGAAATAAAAAATACTAATAAATTTTCACAAGAAATTACTGTTTATAAAACTCTGATATATTTTACTTTCTAAAAACTGCTTGTAAAAAAATGGCTTACAATATTTGAAAATTATAATATCTAGTATAGATTTTAATAACTACATACTAATGAGCATAGTTCATTTTGAAAAATCAGTAATGATAATGCTAAAAATTTATTTTTTATAATAATATTAAATACATAAATGAGTATTGTAAAAATAGTAAATTTGGCCATTAATAGTTTCTTTGGAAAGATCCAGTACACATTTGCAATTTAAAAAATTGAGGATTTGATGTGAAATAAAACTTCAAATATTTTAATTTCTTAACTGTGTACAAATTTATGTATTTAGTGAAAACAAAAAGCCTTAAATATTAAAAAATGATCAGAAACGTTAATTACTTTTTTAAATTAATCAATCTAAATCAGAAAATAAAAACCATGAAAAAATATTGCTGATTGGGGTGCATTGTTACAAAAATAAAGAGGAAACAAAAAAAATGTGATCAAATTGAAATAACGTTGACTTGGCAATCTAAAACCAACACCCGATAAGTATTTGAAAATGAACGAACTTTTAAACAAAGAAATTAAATAGGCTTTATAAAAAATCGAAAGGGAAAACAAAACTTACCTATTTTCTTTAATCATCAATATTTGAAACACTAACTTATTCTAATTAACCTTAAATCACAAATGCTAATTTATTCTCTAATGTAACAGCTTATATGCAAAAATAAATAAATAAATAAAAAATAAGTAGGACTTACCCCCTTCATTCTGCTTTTGAAATAACCACTACGAAAGCTCAAAACTTCATAAAATCACAAGTTTGGAATACATAACACTTTTCGAAAGAAAAAAAAACGCAATGGCTATTAACCAAACCATAAAAGGATTAAAGCTTCTTCAAGATTAAATACAACATTCCTCAAAGTGATCCTTTTTTTTAAATATTCAATGGATACATCATCGTTGCTATAATTGTCATGTGAGTTCTTTGTTTAGATATTTCAACAAACGAGGTCAGAATGGAGTATAGGTAAATATGATGGCATATGATATCCAGTTATTCGTCATAGCATTTAATGAAAGCAGTACGAAGCTCTTATAAAGCATTTTTAATTGTTTTTGACGGATTCAGCACAAATTAATGCATTTTAATCTCGTAACATATCTTTAATGGACCACTATAAGTTCGATTTTAAGTGATAGCATCAAAGCATGGACTATCTAATTTTAAGCCACTCGAGAAAAAAAATTTGCTAACGATTTAAAAATAACTGCAGCTGTGTTTCGCGTTTGATTTAAAATCGTTTGCTTTTTGAGGACAAATGTTAATTAGATGTTTATTCTTCTGAATGATATTCACCTGTCAACAATTTTTCCGTTTTCATTTTCAAGTTGTAAAATTAAATTTAACACAAATCATTTTCTAAGTTACGGATTATTTAAGATACCTAAAAAAATCTTGCAAACAAAATCAATATTTGTCCAAATGTACGCAAAATAGAATAAAGCATTTTATTAAAAATTGAAACATTACAAAAAGGCTTAGTTTATGGAATTGTTCGTTCACAAACTTTATTTTTCTTTCTGTGCAATCGTTAATCAATATTTCTGAATAAAATAAACCTTATCAAAACGGTTTGTGGCTATAACAGTTGTGTAAAATTTTAAATTTTTAACATGAATCTTAAAGGAAATGTAAGTGTATACATCTTTTTCAAAAACAGAGAGAAAAGACATTCAAGTTCTTTATTTAAGCAGATAATATTAAAATAAATTTATTTAAATATTTTTTTTCCATTTGGACAAGGAGCATATTTACATTTAAAAAAAAATTTCTGACACTGAGAGTGTAAGAGAATAAAGTAATATTGCATGTAAAAAAAATTTAACAAACACATTTACGGAAATAGAATTTTTTTTTCTTTCAAAATCATATTGGGAGGTCTTAGGAGCTATTCAAAAAAGAAAACACGTCAATGTAATTGTTGTGACCATTCGTGACTCTTTTGTGATTAACATATTTAATTTTAAGAGATCGTAAAAACTGCTAACAAGACTTCCAAGTGACTGATCTAACTTGAGAGAGACGAGTGGCAAAAAATACTCCTGTAATTTTAAAAAGACAAGTAGTAAAATGATTGTCATGTGCTTTTCAAGGGCTCAAAGGTGCAACTAAGTGGCAACAAAAATTCTCTATGACTTCAGTCCCAGTAAAGTATAGGTGCGATTACTAATTGATAAAAGTCGCAATGAATAGTCAGGGAAACTCTTATGTGATATCACAAAATAAAGTAACATTATGGCCTCATCGTGACAGTTTAAAACGGTCACACCTGTGACTGTGACTACTGTGACCGTTTTTGATTTCTTAATAACGTCACTGTGAGAGTCTGTGCTATCTAAGAATATATCGTTAAAAACGGTTAAAAAAATACCACACAATTCCTAAAATTGTAAAAATATATAGAGTCAAATTGATGAAAGGCAAAATATATAAAATGTTTCTAATATGTTATGCTAAATATTTTCTTTTTAAACAACCAATGACAATTGGGTATTTGAAACTTGAAAAGTGATTACGCTTAACCATTGTGATTTAAATTAGATTTAATAGGATACCTGTAGCCGACGTCACCATGTCAAACCGAATTGGCTTCTGAATCGACAAATTCCGCTACGGTGACGTCACTTGTAGGAATTTAATTATAGAAATAAATCTCTGATGTGTTATTTAAAAATGTCAAATTTGCATTAAAAATAATTTTACTTAAATATAAATATTTAAGTAATGAATAAAAAACATATCTCAATAATTTCAGAAAGAAATTGCCGAAATGTGCAGTGCCTTGTGTTTTTCAAAATGAATCATATGAATATATTCAATTAATTTAAAAGTTTTGAAAACATTTACTATAATACAAATACTTAAGTTATAATATTTTAGTTAAAATGAGATGGAACAAAATGATATGTTTCATTACATTTGAATCTCAAGAACAAAAATGATATATAAGTGATTTTTATAACAGAAAATTTGAGAACTTCAAACATCAATAAAGTGACTTCGATTTAACCTTATGAATAGACGGACTTTAATTTTAATGATACCTGATACCACTACACTAATCAATAAAACAAACATTTTAAATATTGAGAATGTCAAGAATTTTTAAATCAGTGTTTGTGACCGGATTTTGATTGATAAATTAACGATCATTCGTCTTCAACTTTAATAGCCATCAATTCGAAAAGGGAAACTTTTTTAAAGCATAAAACTCATAACTAATTTCACAGCCACAAAATTTTATTGATAAAGTGAGCGTTTTTTTTAAAACTTATTGAAGAACGTGTAACGAGTGCTAAATAGACTTATTTAGTCAAATGATTGCCATTGTAACGATATGCATGAAATTAAAAATAAAATTTTTATCATTTTATGAAACTCTTCATTTTTTGGTCACGAAATTCCTCTGGTGGATTAGCTTATATTTCATTTTAGTTTCAAATTTGATAAAAGATGCGCAGCGAATAACAGGGATTAGATTTTACGCAAATTACTGTCAATATAATAATATGCTACTTGATATAAATTTGTAATTATGTATGCATAAACATATACATAATTAAAATAATAACAATTTATAAAATAAAGCGATGCTTACAGAAGAAAAAAAAGAGTGCATAAGCTAGTTTGTGCGTGAGCTTGTAGAAATCATTATAAATAATAAAAATTGGTTTAATATAAAAATGCATGGAGAAAAATTTTTTAGTAAAATTACCATACTGTATTGTAACTATATCATAATATTTCTAACTACTGGGCTGTGCCCCCTGCTCGCTAACGCTCGCCAACCCCCGAAAATTGCTACGGAATGTTATATGGTTTGCTTCGCAAACCAACCTCGCTTCGCTCGCTACTAACTTAGGTGCATTGCAAATTCACAAATTCTAAGAATTCAAAACAATCATTCAAATCCATATAAAAACTGTTTTTTAAAAAAAAATTACATCTTTTTAGTAAAATACTAAGTTATTAAAATAAATTTGAATTCAAATAAATGACATGTAATTCGTTAAACCTATAAGAAATGTGCTATAGTATAATTCGTGATATAAATCAATAATCGTCAAATAAATTCGTAATATATAAATTAGTGAAAAAAAGCGTTTTCGACAAAATACTAAAATAGAGATCTATCGACAAAGACTACTCACTTCTGCCTAGTATTAATAGTATGAGATTGCCGCAGCTGATGCGCTCTGGTTATTTCAGTTTCCGTTTTTAAAAGCGTTATATATGTTGAGCCACCTCAGCTAGATTTGGCATGTGACATTTTTAGCGGCAATCATTGGTCGATTCGCCGTGTAAGAGAAATAGTAACGTAAACAAAACAAAGCAAACGTTGCCACCAGGGGAAAAGAAATACAGCCAAAATTTGGGAGCCACGTAAGAGATTTATATATATTAGATTTTTTTTTAAAAACGTACTTTTTGTAATGAAACCAAAATATGCGGTTTTTAAACCATTCATTCGGTAATTTGTTCATATGGTAACAGTTTACTGGTAATTCTGGTTTTCTAAATTATATTCTTTCGCAATTCGAACAATTTTTATAAAAAGCGTAGTGAAACAGATTAACTTTAATGCCAACAGATGGCGCGCAGACTGAATGAATATTCATGTTTTTTATTTTGTTTCAGTTTGATTTCTATAGGTAGAAAGGTGATTGCCCTTCTGAAAATGAAATGGCTTCAAGCTCCCACTGCGGATACTATATTGAAATCAAACCTGAAAATTTTTTAAAAAATTAGCTTTATTGCATCGATAAACAGTTCATATATTTATTTATTTATCTATTTATCTATCTATCTTTCTATTTATCTATCTTCTTATCAATTGATTTATTTACTTATCTATGTATGTATTTATTTGTTTATTTATTTTCTTTTAGACAATCCAATTCATTGTGACTGCAAAATAGCATGGTTGAGAGATTGGATTCAGAACAAAGGAGCTGACATCGTTCAAGTTCCCGAAGAGACAAAATGTGAAACTCCCGAAGAGTATCAAAACTTGCAACTAGCGGAAATTCCAGATGATCAACTCGTGTGTGTTTCGCACGGAGAACGTCTATCAACACCTTATAATTCTGTAATTGCATCGGTAACGTTGACCTTGGTTTTTCTAATGGTAACTTAATTAAGAAATATAAACTACTGTCAAGAAAGTGACCAATTAAATGATAAAATACTTGGAATCAGTATTTAAATAAGTTTCCATTCAAAGGATAGAATTTATTTCTGAACCTGAAACGTTAAGAATTAGGATGTATAACAAAATTAATGAAATTTAGATTTGAGTGAAACATTGAGAAATTGAACTGATAAAAAAATGTTCTTGTATTTCTGCTCAAGGCATAAAACTTATTTCTGATCATAAAACGTCAACAAATGGATTGGTCTATAAAATTAGTGCATTTTTTATCAACGAATTTATCATAGCAAAATTGTGTTAATAAGCAAAATAATGAGAAAGATGTAAGAGAATCACTAGAGAGAATGAAACTTAGCTTTGGGATTGGCGTATAAAATGAAAGGTACAGCGCAAATGCATTGATATTTGAAGAGAAATATTAAAATACAAAAACAAAAATTGATGGAATGTTAAGAAATTGAACTGATGAGGAAATTGCATTTTTTATGAAAACATGAAACAAATTTCTGAGCCTAAAACGTCAAAAAAATGGATTAGTGTGGAAAAAATAAGTGTGTTTCTTATCACAAACTGCACAGTTAAAAAGTTGTGTTCATTAATGAAATAATGGTACATCATTACAGATGATGAAAATTAGTTATGAAACTGATGGGGAAAATAAAAGATGAATACATTTATATTTGGAAAAAAGTTATTAAATATGAAACAAAACTTATGAAATTCAAATGTGGGATATGCATTTAACTAATGAGAAAAGTTATTATATTTTTGATCAAAACATGAACAAAAATTTCTAAGCCTAAAACGTCAAAAAATGGATTGTTGAGTAAAAATAAGAGTAATTCTTGTTGAAAACTGGAGTGCTAAGAAATTGTGATAATTAACAAAATGCTGTATATCTTCACAGAGAATGAAACTCAGTTCTGTAATTTACGGAGAAAATAAAAGAAACAGATAAATGCTGTTGGTTTTGAGAACTGGTTGGTTACAGAAGAATATTCTTAACGACAATTGATCAATGTAAAAGTAAATACTTTAGATACAGTTTTCTCAAAAGGAAAATAGAGACTTATATCGACTGTATGTATTTTTCCCACTCAAAGAGGTTATTATTCGAGATCTTGTTGAGAATTTCAAATAATTATACGCTGTTTGAAATGATATTTAAAAGAAAAACCGATCTCAGAACCAAAACATTTTCACTTGAATTTTACACTTTATTCTGTGTTTAAATGAAGAGTTATCAGTTTAAAGTAATTTTGCAAAATTGTAATAATTTAAAAGAAAAAGGAGCAAAATGGGTCAAAAACTATATCTGGCATCGCATAAAATATCGTCAAATAAAACAGACTCAAAGCCACATTAGTTCGTCAAACTTGGTATTTCCACATGATACACAACACTTGGATGTTCCATTAGAAAGAATTTACGTTTGTCAACGCATTATAATTCATAGATTTAAAATCTGAAAGAAAACAATTTAATATAGATTTTATGTTCTTTAATATAAATTGAACGTCAATTTTGTCTCCAAAAAATATATCATTTTTAAATTTAAAATGAAAAAAAAAATTATTCTTTTTTTTTTGCCTATAATTTTTTACTTTCTTAACTTATCTTCAGAAATGTTGTTTTAGGAAAGCGTTGTAGAAAAATTTAATTTTTATGTTTATATTCGTGTTAAATTTATAAATACCTTGTTACCGATGAAAAATGGTGCTGTTTTTGGTGTTGATGCTGATCTATTAACTGAAAAAGTTGAATCTCGTCACAAATTTTGATATTATCGTCATCGTTGGAACTATCGAGGCAAAAGTGGATGAATTTGTTCATTGACTTCTTCAAGTCTTTGAAAAATCCTGCATTCTAAGAAGGAGATTAGAAATATTTAATATCTAAATGTTGTAAAAAAGTGAAAATATTTTTTCTTTTCAAAAAAAAATTACATACGTATGTATCTGATATTTTATACTAAATACACAGCATTTTTGTATTCTTTTTTTTTAGTATAAGTTGCTTAATATTTCCATATTAATTCACAAGTAGTGCTTTCTACAAAAATATAATGATATCATTACATGTTCTTTTAAAAAAAGTGTTGAAAAAAGTTATAAATGCTTCAAACTGTTTAACGCGTTTTTTTATTGTACCTCTAAGTTTATTATGAGGTCGAAACCAAGGAAGTCGAAATAAAAACGTGTGTACAGAAACTTCAAACATAATATAATAACATACTAATTCTACATGGTTGACTTTATCAGTCTGTTAGAAAGACAACTGTTCTATGCCCACCGAATAAATTATTAAATTGTATTTAAGTACAAAATAATTGAAATAATTTATTAAGAAAAACTATTTAAAACTATATAAATAATTTTCAAAGTGATGTGTTGTTCTCTTTTATTATTGTATGGTGTTGTTATTTTTAAATGTAACTGCTTCAATTTAATTTTGAGAAGTAAAAAATTGAAAAACATTTGTATTATTCTTATGATGTGAAACTGAAATTAATTCAGGAAGTTTGAATGAATTTTAAACGTTAAATTTTAAATGTTTTACGTTTTTTTTTTTTATAAACGCTATTTGAAAAAATATTTTTAATTTTGCATTAATAGCTTTTTTTTAAAAAAAATTTGCATTTTTTTAATTTTATACTACATATTTTGATTTAATTATGTAGTGAAATTTTTATTTGGACAGAACTGGATAATTGGAGAATATAATTTTATTTTTAATAAATTTTAAACTTCTGTTGCGAGTATATGAAAAAATGGTATTTTAATAATATCGTTATATAAATTAGTTATTTTATAACCTGACGCAACATTAAATTATTTATAATCTTAAATAAACTTAATATTTATTAACCCAATTTTTCTATTTTCAAAAAACAAGTACAACTAAATAAAGTAACAGCTTTTTCACGAAGTGATATTTCCATGCTCAAAAATGAAAATTGAATATGATAAATTGAAAAGACAGCAAGTACCTACAATCATTATCCCTTTTTTTAATTTTATATCAAATTGTGGGAATTACATATTAAGAAAAAATACCACCTCCGTTCATATAATTTCAACTTTTTCAGTATATTACTAAATTCAAATTCTTTTGAAATTGAACCTAGTTTCTCTATTCCAAAAGACATACATAGAAAAATGTCTCTTTTTTTTAAGAAAAATGACATTAATAGGACAAGAATCTTTTAAGAATTTGGGAAAGTTTTAAAGATATTTGGTACTACTGGGTCAGAAAAATATCACCAAACTATTAATGACGCCAACCGTATTTGTTTGAATTAACATGGAAAAATGCATAAAGAAGATGTTTCACTTCAATATTAAAGGTTATTAAAAATTTTATCTGTTCTCAATAATAAATTAATAATTCAAAGTATGGATCTTATTTCGAATGTTTACGGCCATCTCAAGAGACCCTTCCTCTCCGAATGAAACTCAACTGTGGAAGGGATGAAGTGCTAACTTAGAAGTGCTGTGGAAGGGATGAAATGCTGGTAGGAAAATTCTAAATAAGCAATAATCCTCGTTATTTAATTTTCAAAAATGAACTGATGATGGATAATTGCTCTATTTGGCAGTATCTTTCGATACATGTAAAATGCAAAGCCGGCATCCAATCGCAATTTGAAATATAAAGAGAGTGGTATCTTAGATTTTCTATCACTTTATTCTGACAAAATTATGTCAATGCAATTCTAAAATCAACAATTTTCGGTTGGTAGTTTAGCATACAGTTGCCTGTTTTTAGAATTTTGATAAGTATCCTTGTTTTTATGAGCTTTTTTGTTTTTATGTACGTTAAAAGAATTTTTCAGCATCATCCAAATTGGTTTTCATCAGTTTAAACTCTAATAACATTATATTTTGAAAAAAATCTAAAAACTGACAAACGTATAGAAAATTGCTTCCTCAAAACCACAAATCGCATTATTTTTATTGCTTTTAAATTTTGAAGAAAATTCCTAGAAGTTTTAAAAGCCCTATTTCTCTACTTTTCGTTGTTGTTTCTACTGCCTACTTGCCATGCCAGTAAGTTTGCTTGGGAAACCAAGCGAATTTAAGGAAGAGGGTGCGTTTCTTATTTTTCAGACCCCATCTATGGCCAAGAATACCTTTTCAATCACATACACACGTCACAGCCAATTTTACGGGGTTGACCCATTCATACATCTGTTCACACATTCATTCCCAGATCATAATTTTGACCTCAACCAGAGGGTGATCAATATCCAATTCAGGAACACCCAGAGGTATTGATTTGTTATGGAAACTTAGAGGGCTTTGTGACCCCAACAGATTAAACGCGCATCCTTCACCATTTAATACACGGGGTTTCTTCGGCCGGTGAGATTCGAACTACAGTTCTCACAAACGCGAGTCCAACGTCCTACCAAAAACAGGCTATCCCGACCCGCTATTTCTCTTGGCTCAGGTGATAAAGCGCTCGCCTTCCAATGAGGCGAACCGGGTTCGAATCCCAGCGATGGATGGTCGATATGAATTCCACATCCAGCGAAATATCCTCAGTGGTAGGTTATCGTGGTCTTCCTTTCCATGTAACGTAAATGCGGGTTAACTCCATCAAAAGTCCTCCACGAAAGCAAATTTCGCCCAATGCTCGATCCAGGAGTTCCCTTGTCTTCTGGATTGGGTTCGAAATTACAAGGCTACGGAGTTGAACATTAGTAGTCATAAACCCATAAAATTGGGTCGGCTGTTCAACGACGGTTATAAAATAAAATAAAACAAAATAAATAATTACCTGTATTTTCTACCTTGTTTGAAAGGTATTGTGCTGTCTAATAATACTTTATCATCAAAAGTTTAAGTACAAAAAAAATATTAAACAAACGCAAATTATAAATTTAACCTAAAATTCAAGCTGACGAGAGTAGAGGCCTCTTAAGAGGAGTAGTACCAATATTTTTAGCATTGTTTTTAAATAACTTTTTTCCTAATACTTAGTTACTTAATGAATCCTACCTAACACATTAGATTTATGACAAACTATCACAGATTCCTGTGTATACCAAAAATTTATATTTAATATTCATTCAAGTTATTCAAGGGATTATTTAACCATTTCAGAATTTTTATTTTATTCTGTAAGTATAGACAAATTCGAATAATTAGTTTACCACACTGAAAACTGAATGTTATTGAATTATAAAAACAATTTTCAAATAGTGTTTTTGGTATAATTTATTTAGTGTTCCTTAATGTAACTGAAAATAAAACATTATTTAAGTTTTGTAAGTATTTTACTTCTCAGACAATCAATGTCATATTC